GAACTGTTCCATTATACTAAGTTCTAATCCCTTTATTAAAACACCCTCTTGAACATTTCAGTTTTGCACACTCTGTGAAATAATGGAAGTGCAAGAGCCTTTCTGACCTCCTCACTCTTCTTAAAGAACTGGGAAGCCTATGGGATAAGAGCACACAGGATAGATGTCCTAATAAGATTTGTGTTCAGTATTGCATACAAACTATTATTCATCTTTATTACAACTCTAAAGGATGTCTTATTTGTACGTGAGGCTGAGTGGTACAGTTTAAAGTAATAACATGGCTAGTATCTCAACCTTGTCCAAGGCCAACAGTAACCAACAGAACTGTCTCCCTGGTATTTTATACAGTTTTTTCACATTTCTGATATCTATACTGGCCGTGGTGGGCTACATTTACACAAAGTGTTTCCATCAGATACTTAATGACAAACAACCTATCACGGAAGAAGAGGTATGGCAACATGATACACAAAGTAAATGGCCAAGAAATGCTACAGGCTTAATGGAATTTGAGCTACTCTGTTGTGTGTGTTTTGGAAAACTAGCTGGAGAACAGAGAACGTCATCTTCCAGGCCAGGACCCTATTTAACAAAGCAGAGAATGTATAAAGGTATTTAGAGAAGGAAGTTACATAAAGGACAGTAAAAACACTCTTGCTCTTACCCTTTGCCAAGGCTGGAACAGTTCAACCCATAAGAGTTATTGCTATCACCATTTGTAATGGTTGAAGAGGCAACTACTGAGGAGCAAGAGCTTGCTGGTGATTTTGAAGAGGTAGTTAGACTTCTAGTTGCAGTGCTAGATCTACAAGAAAAGAAATAACACGTAATACCACTAATCCTCATGATTCTGACAACGTAAATTTTGGCACAAGAGCTCATTATTTTAACCTTTTAAATATTTAAATATATTTCTAGTTTTCCAAAACTGCAATACCAAAGTAGTTCCTGTGGTACCAGACACTCAAACTCAGCTGCTTCTTAAGGAACATTAGTACTATATTCTTAGTGCCACTCATTTGATATCCAACTTTGCTACTGTTAGGGAGTATCTACTGTACTGGTATGATGCTCTAAAGTTAAATGTCCGTTCTAGGAGTTTGCTTAATCATTGCTAGAAAAGACCCATGTTAGAGAATTTGGATTTGAGCCAAAAGCAGCCAGGGTAGTCAGTACTAGGCCAGGTAAAGTACTGATCAGTTGAGTGCAGGACAGTTCTTTTAACCCTTTTTTGCATGACCTACAGCAGGGGCTCCCAATATAGTGCCCGTGAGCACCATGGCACACACCAAGTGTCTTTAGAAAACGGGCATGGCCAGATGGGGCTTGAAGTTTTTTGATTTTCATGACGTGACGCAGACAGTGGTTTTATGTAAAGTACTTTACTTCTGCAAATAGCTGAGTGATATTCTAAAAACACAGTGGGGCTTGATTCTGACTAAGCACAACTTGGCTGCATGGTTCAAATGCTTAAGGCACCTAAATGGAACAGCTACTGATATCATCAGATCTTCCCAGTTCCAACATATTTTTATAATTCAGGTTTAACATTATTACATTAAATTTGGTTCACTTTTCAAAAATCATTTATGTTATTTAGATCTAGCCAGAATCTTTCATATGGTACAAACATGCAAGGAGCTCTCACCAGCCCTTCAGCACCAACTGTAACTGTTACAAGTAATAGTGCAAATTAAAACTGGCTGGGCTCATGACAGAAGGGAAGGATAACCAGGAAAAGAAGCTTTTTTGCTTTTCCTTTTGCATAAGTGTGTTAGACACTTGCAAAATTAAGATGGATATTGCCATTTGAGGGTTTCTTCACTAGCTCAGTATGTATACTTTGTGTGTATGAAAGAAAATATTTATGAACAGTATGTTAATTTTAAAAGACATCCTGTTAAACAAAGCTTCTGCCTGAAATGTTGGAAGACCTACTATCAGCGTTACGCGTAACATCACTCCCTGACATTTTGTGATTTCACCCACCACCCTGCATCAGAATTCCAAAGGTGCTTGCAGACTGAAAAGGGTTGGGGACCCCTGGCTTATAGGGTAATAAACGTACCTCTTCTCCCAAAAGAACAGAAAGCAATGAAGAAGTTTCTATTTGGGGGTGGTGGTGGCAACATTAATCTATTGGATCACACGCATTTTTTAGAATGTAAGCATAAATAGGTGTTCATTAGCATAATGCACTACTGATTTGTAAATACAGCCAGACTAATTCCAACAGCAGTTACCCTTTCCTCAGGAGCTGACAAAATCTATAATACAAACTGATTTTTCAAATACTTCTCAATCATTTTGCAGATTTGTGGTTCTTTCTTAGAAGTAATAAAAATAAAAAGTACGTCGAGCCCAAAGAACAACAATGGAATCAAGATAAACAGAATACAAAACCAGCTGTGCCCAGCAAAAATGTGTCTTTATAACTTGTCAGGTACTTTCCCCCTAGGTTTTAATGTATTCTAATAGTGAAGTGTGGCCCCATCTGAGGATACTTAAATCCAGAGATTACAGCAGAGAACAGACAACACGGATCTTTTGACAAACCTGAAAAATGTCTCAGGTTTGAAATCTAAAAAAATACACTGGGTGATTAAAAAAACCCAAAATAATAAAAGGAGCACCTGTAACTTTAATAAACAGATGCAGATGCTTCAGTGGCTGCTGCTAGGCAACTACAACATTTTGGCCAGCATTCAAGGCTTGGTTTCTGTCTGTAAAAGGTGGGAGGAGGCAGGGCCCTTTCTGGGGCCTTTGAGAAAGGACACATTGGTGCCAGACCTGGCAGCAACCACGACATGACTTGGTACCACCCAAGTTGCATGTCTTATGCAGGCCTGGGTACTTGCTGCTGTTTATCAGCAGCCACCCCACAAAAGCTAGTGTGATGTAGCACTTAAGAGTTTCAGACTAGGACCTTGAATTCCCATTCTGCCATGGAAACTCACTGGGTGACTTTGGGCCAGTCACACATTTTCAGCCTAACTTACTGCCAATGCTCCCTCTAGTCCTGTGAGCAAAAATTCTACTCTTTGAGCTACTGACATTAAAATTGTGAGCAAGCGATTTGGCTACTGCATCAGTTTTCTCTGGAGCCATCTTTCCTGAGCTAAGACAAAAACGTGTGAGCCGGAGGCTAAAAAACTGTGAGCTAGCTCACACTAACTCAGCTTAGAGGGAACACTGCTTACCACCAGTGTTCACTCTAAGCTGAGTTAGTGAGAGCTAGCTCACAGGTTTTTAGCCTCCAGCTCACACATTTTTGTCTTAGCTCAGGAAAGATGGCTCCAAGAGCAAACTAATTTATGCAGTAGTCAAAATTGCTTGCCCACAGAATTTTTGCTCGCCTGACTCCATAGCTTAGAGGGAGCATTGCTCACCACACAAGGTTGTTGTGAAAATAAAATGGAGGAGATGAGACTGATTTAAACTGCACTGGGTTCCCACTGTGGAGAAAGGGAGAATATAAATAAGATGGAGGGCAGATAAAAGGTTGATTGGTGGTTGGGTGTGAAGGAGAGAAGGATGTAGGGGAAGGTGAGGATATGGGAGTTGTGCTAGGATGAGGTAAAGAGCAACAGCAGGGGAAGCAAGATGCAGGAGAAAGTGAGGTGCCCTACAAGTTCTTGCATGTTCCTCCTAGTGCAAAAGGGCCCAGATCAGCTGGTATCACACAACTGGGCCATAGTTCTCCTGAGCAGAGGCTCCCGAGGGAGAGAAGGAAGGAAAGCTGAAGACAGGGGCAGATAAAGATAGGATGGCTGGTGGGTGAAAAGGAGATTAGGAAACACAGGAAAAGGGGAGAGGCTATGGGGGCTTTAAGGAAAGAAAAAGAGGAAATAGTGGGGGGATGAGATGCCTCCCACAAGTCTTTGCAGGGTCCCCCACTTGTAGGACCTGTACTTGCACAGTAAACATAGTACTCGGCTTCACATGTGCTATAGAAACTGTCACTGTCAATCCAAAACTGTGGCTTTGAGATCAGATCAGAAGAAAAGCCAAGTATTCTGAATCTTGATGTGCTCTAAGTCACAATACACAATACAGAGATGAACTCTTGCTGATGTGTCTAGTCCCACTGCTTGAGAAATGCAGAGACACAACAGTTTCTGCTACATGGATCATCATCAGTTATACCAAAAAACTTAGGAAAGCTCAGAGTAAAGAGCTAGAGAGAGAAACAGAGCTTTTACTTCATGACAATTAAGGGCATATAAAGCACACTATAAAAAGTATTATGCTCTTGTATCTCACACACATCAGACACAGCTGAGGAAACTGTTTTATAGCTGCTTGCTATAAAAAGGTTATCAGGCAACATAATTTTATCTGCTGATGTTTGCAGTGTGAGGTTAACACAGCCATAGCAACCAAACCAATCTGTAGACCAGGATATGAGTACATTGGAAATATCACAGTAATAAAACAAAGTGAGTTACTGCTACCACAAAAGATAGATATGTACAGAATGGAAAGACACAAGATTTGAAACAAACAGAATCTACCTAGGAAAAATAACTAGAAGGATATGAAAAAAGGAAATTAAATTAATTGGGTACAATAGCTACTATATCCAAACTACCTGGATAAATTAATCAACGGATCGAGCTAGATGAATACTAGGGAAAAAGCCGAAGATAACTGTTAAAGTTAGTATTTTCCACAATAGACGTTATCATCATCATCAATTTCTGAATCACCCAATCCCTGCTCACACAGGGCTTTGGGCGATGTACAACAACATAAATAACACAAAAACAACAGAATTAAAATATACACAACAATAAATTGCAAATACACTTGAAAGAATCCAAGATGGCGTGACTATATCATTTCTTCCCATTCTGGACTGCACCACGACCTAATGTGCAGTCGAAAAGGAGGAACACAAAAATAAGTCTGGAGGAAAAAGAGATGGTGCCAGCCATGATGGAATCCGTTGTTGCCCTCAACCAAAAGCCTGGCAGATCATCTCTGCCTTACAGGCCCTGTGGAACTGCATTAGATCCCGCAGGGCCCTGGTTGTAATTCGGCAGAGAGTTCCACCAGGGCAGGCACAGAACCAAGAAGGCCCTGGCTGAGGGCAGCCAGACATCTTTGGGGCCAGGGATCACCAGCAGATTGTTATCCGCAGAGCATAACACTGTCCGAAGAACATCCCAGTATTTAGGTGTCAACACAAACCTGAGTAACAGATTTCTTTAATTTACTTAATTTGTAGTCTGCCTTCCTCTCAAGTGGGGACCCAAAGTGGCTTACATCATTCTCATCTCCTCCATTTTATGCTCATAACAATGCTGTGAAGTAGGCTAAGCTGAGCATGTGCCTGATCCAAGGTCACTTAGCAAGCATTCACTGCAAAGGATCCTGGGGCTCCAAGATCCTAGTCCGGTACTCTAACCACTATACTATGCTGATAAAAGACAGTACTTAAAATAGCAGTAATATACAGAGTTTCTCAGAACTGCCATTTTACCTTCAGAGGCAGATCAGCACTTGCCTCTCAGGGCATTAAAGGCTTCTTGTCATGGGGAGGAGCATTTAAGAGGATACCATTCAAACAACCCTCAGAGGCACAGCAGCATCTGACTCCACTCTCCTGAGGAGGAGGGGCTAACACGTTCACATTGCAACAGGGGCTTATATTAGGAAGAGGGGGAAAGAAGGGAGTGATAATTTGCTTGTAAACTGCTTCCAACAAGGAGAAAAGAAGTATATAAACTGTTGTCATCTTATTAACCAAAAGTTTTCAAATGTTTTCAGCTGACATTAAGTCAATCTTCTGCCCTAACTCAGCTTGTTGTTGTTGTGCTCAAGTGCCTCACCCTCACCTTCTTTCTCCTCCCTTCTCACACAGAGCAGAGTGAATGATTCCTGGTTTAAAACAAATTCCGGTTATCCATAACATACACACAGGTGTCCAGGTTAACCAGAGTCAATTTTCTCGTACAATCTGGGAATTTAAATCTGGATTAAACTATGGTTTAAACCCTTAACTTGTATTGGGCAGGGGACGGGGAGAGAAACCCTTGTATTAACATGGGGATCTACATTTGTATGCTGTAGGTAACCAGTTTGTTTTAAACCAGAATTATTTTGTTGCATTCCATGTTACAAGAGATGGAAGAGGAGGCAGGAGCAAATCACGTACGTAAGCACGGAACCTAGCCGGAACCAAGTACCAAAGCTTTACTACTGAACTCCAGACTACTGTTGTACTGGAAAACAGAAGTTTGCATGCAATTAAACCTTTAGAGTTATATTTTTAGACTGTTGCTTCCTGTAATGTTAATGGAAATAGAAAACAAATTATACTCTGAGTTACATTTATTAAAGGCTGCACTCTTTTCATATCCTAAAAGTTCAAACCAATCCAAAGCAGCCTTTTTGGCATATGTAAAATGTGATCAAGATGAAGCAGTTCATACGCTAAATTCATGATACTATGTAAATAAAAATAATACATGACTTCCTTGTACACTTTATACAGATCTATCATCAACTGCAACAGGCTCCATTAAGAGTACAGATCTATCATCAACTGCAACAGGCTTCATTTATGGAATAATGCTTAGAATGGCAGATCTTTATTTTAATAAGTGCGTTGATGAATGTTTCTCTACATCTTATGGGTAAAAGCTTATTCCCCTTTTATAAATAGGAGACTTGTTTATTCAGTAGTACAGAAGCAGGAATATCAAATGTATCAGAAAAACACATGCTTTTCGTATCAATCGTCTGCTGCTTTAAAAGCTCTCTCTCTCACACTAATTGGACATCTCTGTAGCAGTGTCAGCTCCAAGAGCTGGAGAAACAAAGAAGCTTAATTCAGAGATCATCAGTTCAATCTACACACTCTGGTTTGGAGATCAGGTTTTGAAATAAATTGAGGCAGAAAGTATTAAGGAGTGAATGCTTACTTTGCCAGAGAAGACTGCCTGGGCCATGTACCATCTTCATTCTTCACTTCTATTAACACTACCTAGAAAGGAAATAATAAAGCTAAAAGGAAGGAATACTACAAGAACTGTGCTTTATTTAGCATCTTTAAAAAAATACAAGCAAATGCATGTTGAAAAGTAAAGAAATTCTGCCCCTTAGTTCAGATGACACACAATTCCCAGGTATGGCCTCAGAGAGGTGTGAAAACCCATTAGGCTCATGGCCCAGGAGCACTCACAAGGAACCAGTGCCTCAACAATGATCTTACTACTGAATTTTTGTGATTGCAACAGGCCCTTTTCAAGCAACCACAATCACACAAGTGACAGGAGTGGTGAGAATAGCCTCCACATTATATCCCATAATGGTGGTGATCAATGTTCCCTCTAAGCTGAGTTAGTGTGAGCTAGCTCACAGTTTTTTAGCCTCCAGCTCACACATTTTGTCTTAGCTCAGGAAGGACAGATCCAGAGCAAACTGATTTGTGAAGCAGCCAAATCGCTTGCTCACAACTTAGAGCGAGTATTGGTGGTGATCAACATATAATCAGTGTCTCTTTTCTGATAATGTAACAGTCCTCAGGACCAGTTATATGGCCTCCCTGTTCCTATTAGTGAAGTGCCTAATCCGGGGGTCGTGTGGGTACCTTTGGAATTCTGCCACACAGCGGTGGGCACAATCACAAAATGGCGGCTGCAGGAGGTGGAGCCAACTAAAAATGGCAGGAGAGAGGGTATATATAACTGTAATAGTAACCCTTCAACATTTCAGGCAGAAACTCTCTTTAACAAGATGCCTTTTAATCTGCACAGCCAATCAGAAGCTCTGCTGGGCATATACCCCACTTAACACCTCCCACTTTCTAAAAGCACTTGTTGACTACCACGGCATCCACAGGCACCATGTTGGGGACCCCTGGCCTAACCCCTGCATGGATAATAAAAACAGCACTACAGGGCAAGACACAAGAAAGAGAGAGGTTTCTCCATACGCCAGGCAGCCTAAAAAATACCCACTTTCTCCTTCACTACCCCAAAGAGGGCAAAACTCCTCAAAAACCAACTAAGGCCTGTGTGTATGTGAAAGCTCTCACTCTTCCTGGTTGTCAGTAGGCTGAAGTCTGGTCCTTATCTATCTCTCAAGCCTGGAAAAAACTCAGGCTTTTATACCATTGGAGAACTTTGAAAAGCAAAGAAAAGCTCCTACTTTCAACATCTCCATGATGAAAAAAGATATTTCTTTACTTTTCCCCATCACCTGAAGGAGAGAGAAGGACTCAGTCTCCCTGCTGTCAGAGCTTCTCAGAGGTCTAGACCAAAGCAGAGAGATTGCTCATTCCTTCACCATACCATGGAGAAAAGTAGGAAAGTCTCTCTCCAGTTGAGTGGGGGAAGGTTTGGCTGAAAGAAAG